ACTGTGTGCCTAGCACTCCTCGCTGCCATTAAAACAGCATGCAATAAGAAAAGTGATTAAAAAAACAGCGTATCCACTACAATTGTCTAAATATCTAAATTCATAAGTTTAACTTTTGAATAATGACTTTATGTAATGTCAATGCTTAACTCCATTAATGAGCAGAATATTTAACCTAAATGTGTATATTGAAAGGAAAAGAGCGTATGAAATCATTAGGCTTCGCTATTACGCCAGTAAAAGGGTGCGTACGCACGGTCTAGAGTACCCGTACTGTGTGCACATTTACGCCAAGTTTATTTTTTTATAAATCTCAGTATGTACGTGGAAAATTGCGTACGCACATTTCCATGCCGATTTTGTGCGTATGCAACGTTTATACATCAGGCCCCAGGTCATATGGGTTTTTGAAAAATATCTCTTTTGCAGTTTATAACATAGCTATTCTTAAATGAAAACAATCTGCAAAGTTGTTAATCAAAAAAGTGCATAATAAATAAAGATATTGTCCCTCAAAAGAGAGTCGTTTCTGAATCGCCATAACGAGTCGTCATATTTTCGAATCTTTTGCCAGTTACCGGTATACGTCACTGGGTAACACATGCATAATCCCTGCCTGCCCGCGAAATACGAACAGAGTCTGACCTGCCCACAAACACTTCCGCTAGTTAGTGTGGTTTCATCATGTCGAGAAGAGCTTTGTGTTCAGGGATACCACAGAAATACAATTTGAACCTTTTGTTGTGTGCTCATCATTTTACGGAGGACTTCTCTAATCTTGGCTTTTATCTTCGTTGGCTTCTTCTATCTTCTTAATTTGGACTAACAAGCTCTCCGAACCACAACCTGTAAGTACGATTGATACGTTATGTGCACATTTTCAATTGAGTGCTCAAATGATCAAGTTTTTGTGCTAATATGTGATGTATACCTAGTGCAACTTTAGGTTTCCAGGTAAAGCACGATATTACTGTCTTACTGAAATGTTCTTACTTGTTCTGATAATTCTCTGTGAACCAATTATTTCCTAGGAATGCGTTTATCGTTTCGTTTCGAAATCATTGGCAAATGACTCTAATATTAAATGTATATTCTGAGAAAATTACAATGTTTTCTGGCCTTAGATGCATTTAAACCTGTTGTAGAGGACTCCAACACAATATTAGGACACTCTAAAATACCATATGACCTGCTCTTTAAACTGTGATTTGCTCTCCTTCCCATTCACTAAGACTGCTCATCTGGGTTGGGATAACTAACGTGGAATGGCCTGGCTTTTTAAGGGTTAAGAGATGAAATCATTAAAACTAAAGGTTCTTCTGTGGTTCTTAGGCACTTATTTTATCAATAATCGTTGTGTGTGTATATAACAAGCACTTGATACATTAAAGGTTCTTCAGGTTAGTGTATTGTTTCTTTAAAGCAGATGGTTTTTAGAAGGAACTCGAGAAGAATCTTTCTTAAAGTAACTTAAAGGATTAGTTCACTTCCAGAATAAAAAATTCCTGATTATACCCCTATGTCATCCAAAATGTTATGTCTTTCTTCAGTCGCAAAGAAATTTCCTCAAAAGGTTTTTGAGGAAAACATTCCAGGATTTTTTACCATATAATGGACTTCAATGGGAACCAATGGGTTGAAGGTAGGGCTGGACGATATGGCCAAAATTGATTTTTACTGTTTTTGCTGTACTTTGGATCAAATAAATGCAGCCTTGGTGAGCAGAAGACAATTCTTAAAAAAAAAATAAAAAAAAACTTAAATCTTACTGTTCAAAACCTTTTGACCGGTAGTGTAGGCTGATTATTCTTATAGATTGAAACAAATGTGCTTCAGCCAGAAAAAAGGGTATGAAAAGTGCTCCGAGTCGCTGCAGAAAACAAAAAAATTGAACAAAAAAAAAAATATCGCGATACATATTGATATTGAATTATTGTCCAGCCCTAGTTGAAGGTGCAAATTGCAGTTTTAGTGCAGCTTCAAAGGGCTCTACACGATCCCAGCCGAGGAATAAGGGTCTTGTGTAGCGAAACGATTGGTCCTTTTCCAATCGTTTCTGGAACGTGAACTAATCCTTTAATGTTATGGTATCTGACTGTAAAACTTTTTTTTTTTTTTTAAATGATTAAACTTAAGAGTCAATTGCCAAGATGCTTTACTGTCTCACTCTCTCACTCCATCTATAAAATATACACTACTGTTCAAAAGTTTGGGATCGGTAAGACTTAATGTTTTTCTCTCTTATCTTAACATAAGTCTATTATGCTCAAAGTTGCATTTGTGATCAAAAGCTTAGTCATTTTGCCCTTCTGAATGAATATCAGCATGAATGTTTTGTTCAGAAAAGTGTTTTTGTTTGGCAAATTTATTTTCACTTTCAAGGGGGATCGAGGCCATTTAAATAACTTTTGCTATTTTGTTGTTGCAACCTAAAGCTCCCAGTACTGTCGGATAAATGAAGATCATTGGGGTTCTTTGTGAACTGTATGATCTGTTGTTCTATTGCCTTTGTTACACTGAGCGTTTAATTTGCTTATGTAACTTCACTAATTTGGTAAAATAACTCATTAGGCTAACAATACTGCAGGTCTTGACATGCAGCCGGTACTGTAATCTAAGGAATGCTGAGCTGTACAAAATCTATTTTTAGTTCTGCTTAGTTGAAGTATAGTTTCATATCTGGTAACTGGTGCAGTTGAGGGTGAGAACTTTTCATGCATTGGGATTTCAGCAGCCGTTCATGTCTGCTCATGATGAGTATGTCTAAGGAAGTGATATTTGGCAGATGTCGTAGTGATTTAACATCTTAATTTTCGTATGTGGTGTCTCAGTTTCTTCTCGCCAGGTTGACAGGTTTTTTTTTTTTTTTTTCTCAACTCCTTTAATTGGCTAAATACACTGCTGGACAAAAACCAATCATTTGTATTCAAATTTTTTTTCACCTATATTTTCCTAATGGCAATTTTATGATTTGTTCATATACTACAATTTCTTTCCATTTTTATCACAAGGCAGAACATTTATTTTATAGTTTCTATAGGCTACTGTAATAAATGCTATGTCAGTTAGCACTGCATTATGACTTGGAAAAACACACACAAACCATATATTGTTGCGATCGTGCATGTACTGTCTTGACGTTTTTTATTCAGCTTACCCACAGTGATAGCTGGATGCCTTTGTCCATATTAGGGATTTCCTGGCATGTCATAACAGTTATTACTTCTATGAGTCCGTCTTGGACTTTGTGCGAGATCGTCCTCCGGCTTCAAGTATAAATGAAACGTACACTGCATTAGTGTTTAGCGCTCCATAATGTTCACATCGCCTCATTTTGGATACGAATAAAACGCCAGGTCATGCATGGACTATCTTTTCTCTTTTAATTTAAATCTAGATTTAACACTGGTCCCTGAAAACCTCTACGTGAACACTTGTCACCCACGACACGTATTCTACACCCATGCTTCTCGCTTCCTGGTTTCATATACAGTATTTCCCCATACTTGCATAAAGTCAAGTGGCTTTTTACATCAACCTGTCCTGCAGCACCTTTTACCTTTGTGACTGACGTTCCTCTGTGGAACACAAAAATGTTTTTGCTTCAACTCTTTCTGTCCATCCAATAAAAGTCAATTGGGTCCAAAACAACACTGGAAATTATAATAATTATTATTATAATTTTTTTGGGAAATATCATTTGTGTTCTGCAGAAGAAAGTCATACAGGTTTGGAACGACATGAGGGTGAGTAAATGAGTTTTAATTTGTGTGTGAACAGCCCCTTTATGGTTGCGGTGTTCTTTTAAAAATCTAAACCCTGAGCAATTTTGTTTTCATATAATATTCAGTCTATTCCGAGTTGATGTGACTCATTTCCAAAATATAGACTTGGTTTTCAGGTGGGGAACACAGGGCCGTCAAAAACAGGAGGTCTCCCCTACCATCATCATGACAGAAACCGCATCACCCAGTTTTGGTCTCCACATAGGCCTGTTTTGAATACAGGAGTGTGTGCTATTTAGCAACGTTCAGAAGATTCCTATCAGATTGCATTATGGTGTGTATTTGTGCAGGGGTGTTGTCATTTTCTGTTAGAGCATGAAACGGGATGGCACCTGCTGTGGCTCTGCATAGAGCTGTTGGACTTGTCTAGTGGGTAAGCACTGGTTTAGAGCGCTCCTGTTCTCTCATAATTGCTGTGTCGACAACTGTCATCCCCACAGAACCCTGTTAGACAACTGAACAATATGATTGCTTTAATCCAGGGTGAGTCCAAGTTCGTGAAGGGAGTGTCAATATAAAGACGCCCTTATCTTTCAATACAAATCAGGCCTTATGTGCTTTTCCTCAAACTTATTGCTCACGCTTTGTCTTGTTGGTTTATTGATGTTTTATGCCGTTGCAAACCTGTTTTTCTAAAAAGCAGAGATTAAAGCATTTAGAGAACTTGTGTAATTATGAACATCATAAGTGTCAGCAATTTAATCCCCATGCATTAAAAAAATTCCATTAGTTAATATGCAATTTAGTCCGTGTGCGTGTACGTTATAAATGCACAGCTGAGTTGAGGTTTAGAGGCTATTGCCTCAATTTTGTGAAAATATTATTAAAAAGCCAATAAATGTGTATAATTTAATCTTAATTTAAAAATATATATTTTATTAGCTTTATTATACAAACTTAAATATTGTATTACTGCCTTTTTTTTTTTAAATGGGAAAGTTGACCGGAAAGTGGAGTGGGAGAAAGAGGGGGATACTGGGTTCGAGACATGACCCATATTGATCCCAGGTCCTCATGAGCACAACAGCTTTTTGAATGGTATGAACTATGCGCAACCCTCTGTCTCTGCTCCAACATTGTTTGATATTTAAAACCATTTTGTAACATTATTTGTGCTGTTGTAGCTTCTGCGTTTATGCCGTTTTCATGCCGGTGCATTATATACCCCCTCAGATGCAGCTTTTGGTCTCCCTTACAGTGTGAATAACAAAACCATTTATGTGAGGATAACTTGAATGTGTTTTTTTTAATTTTTATTTATTTATTTTTGAATATCTTCTAGGGTTTAGTTAGTCTCTCAGGTAAGCGGTTTTTGCGTTTCTTTAATCGAGCGGTGTTAAAGTGCCGTTTGTCTGCCATTTTTCACCCCGTCTGCCCACTGTCTGAATAGAGCATCTGTGTGACATTTGGGTTGACACCATGATTTGTCGTCATCTACTTTCTCGGTCCTGCTTTGCCCTTCACTCACAGCTGCCTGCCAGATGCCTCAGTGTCATGATTAGAACCTGTTGAAGATGACGTCTCTGTTTCAGAGTGGCACCCCTCATCTTGAAAATACATCCTGCACTTTTAGCGAAGAAAAAAACAAAACAAGAGACATTGGCTTTATAAGCTCGTTATATATATATTTTTTTTAATTTTTTTTTTAACTATGGTGGACATTTGTGCAGCTACTTGTTGGCCGGACTACTGTACGTAATGTAAAGAGGAAATGTGTGATGCACTCCCATTTCTATTTATTTATTTTTACAGGCACTTATGAGTGGCACATAGGGAATTCTTAAGTTAGAAGTACAGATTTGCATCCAAGTAGGTGCAAGGTTGGAATTTCGGCAGATCACAGGTTTTACAGGAGCAGAAAAAGTCTAAAGAAAAAGTAGGGAAGCCCTGTTTTGCACAAGTATTAAATGTGGTCAAGACAAAAGCCAGCTCTGTTCCCCAGGCCCAACAAATCCCCCAGAACCCCCATTCACATTTCAATCAGCTCTGCACAGAGGGGGGCAAACCACCTGCAAAGCCCCTTCTCATAAACCCTAAAAATAAAAAATTGTCATGGTGTCACCTCCATCTCACAGGCCAGGCACTCTGTCAAAACCGTGCAAAGAGTGGAGACGATCCTGCTGAATGACATCACCTCACCCCTAAATATCATGCAATAAGGTGATATCATTTAAAATGGTCATTGGTTTCTGACAACTGTAAGTTCGTTGTCTGTGTGTGTTGGTGCTTTGCCACGGAGCTTAATTGCTCCTTGCATAGAGAGAGTGCAAATGAACATGTTTCTTACTTTGTAAAGGTTGGACAGCTATTGAAGACTGTATTGTTTGGCATTCACAAACTTTCCACCCACTTCTTGGTGTTCCTCTGCCTCGGGTAGGCCAGCGGCGGAGAGGCGTGACCCATTTAAAAGGGTGTTTACTTGTATCAGAGAAAGGGCTAAGATGCTCCTCCGTGAACTCTTGTCTACAAATCAATTACCCTTGGGGCGCTTCAGCAGCTTATGAAATGCTGTTTTTTTTTTATTTATTTTTTTTATTAGCAGTTTTATGCACCGTACGGGAAGAACATTCAACTTTTAATATG